TCTATATATCACTTAAGATAACAAATGGGATATTATAAAACTGTTAATTATGATCACATTACAAATGACTAAATTTTTGATCCCTGAAATCCTTGGTAATACCAATGTTCACTTTGTCTTGTTGCAGTATGCCCCATATGATCGAGAATTTATCCTTTGCCGATCATTATTAAAATCACATGACTATACTCTACCCTTAATATTAATAAACAAATTTCACCACAAATAAATCACCTTTGAAAATGTCAATTTATAATAACGATTCTCAACCACCTAGAAAAGGTCCTGGAAGACCTCGAAAGATTTCTCAACCACCTCCATCATCAAAATCTATTAATATCGAAGATTCTTCACAACCACGCAAAAGATTAAGAATATCTTTTAAAAATGATAAAACAAATGAACCTTTAGAAGAATTTCGTAAAAAACTTATTTATGAAAGAGTTGATGAACTTTCAAAATTAGTTGACAAACATGATCTTCTACTCAGAGAATTATATTTTCATGAAACAAATAAACCACTTGAAGATTTTGATCCTGAAAAAGTTAAACATGATAATAGTATACCCATAGAAAAGGTGTGTGCTAAAAATTTTTATATATAATTGCACTGATTTAATTAAACAATCAATGCATTTTAAATTTTATCATTTTAAAAAAAGTTATGTTATCAATTACAAAAATCAATATTGACCAAAACTACTACAAAAGTACATAACAGATCCTGAACTATGGATTAATGCAAATGATTTAATCTCCGACATTATTCATGAAAATTTTCCTGAATTGTCTACTGAAAAAAAAATTTCTCATCATCATTCTCATCATCAAAGTACTTCACATAAATCTAATAGCTCAAAACGTAACGCAACATTATCATCCAACCATAATCATAGAGTATCCAGGTCTAGTTCTAGCAGAAATTATGATTCAAATTCTGCTCTTTACTCACCACCACCACCATCATCATCAAATTTATCATCTTATTCTCTTCGTCGTAATAATTTCCAAGTTACTCGAATTCCTCAATTTCCTCATTTTGATGAATTTTTGAATTCTTTTGTCACCTTAGATGATGATAAAGATGTGACCATAGCAGAGGCTGATTCAAGAGCCCAAAAAGATGCTGACACTTTGTGGCTTATATTTCAATTAGAGAGAGAGGGAAGATCACTAAAAATTCCTCCACCTCATCCAGAAATTCCACATGTAACATCAAATTGGGACATGATTTTAAATAGTATTGAAAAACGATCAAAAATGATAAAGAAATATTCTAATGAAAGGAATCGTATTACAAGAACAATTAGTAAAG